AATACTCCTGATACAACAGGATACTTAGAAAGATCTAAGGGTTTTAACTAACTGTGACCTTAATGTGAGTCATCTAGGAAACATGTAGACAAACAAGCCCTCACCTGATTTTACCTGTGCTGGACAAGTGCACTCATGGGGCCACTTCCGAATGTCCCTTGTACTTTCTTACACACGCACATGGACAAATATCAAGAGCCTAGCTCCAACCCAAGGTGCCTTACGTCAAGGAAGGAGTTGGACAAAGTGAGTACTGTTTAGAGAGTTAGTGAAGCCCACACAAGGCAAGATGGTTACAGTGTTGCATGTAACTAGAGGGTCAACAACAGAAGACCAACAGAATCTCTGGGATTGAGAGAACTGTTTACACAATACTACAGGGCTGAAGTCATCAGGTGGAAGTCGCAGGAAGTAGGAGATCTCAGAGTGAGGTACTCTGCAGAGGTGGAAGAAGGACTACCCAAGGGCTGATGCAGCCTGAGGTCACACTGGATTATCAGGAGCTTATCAGAGCTGGGCTTTGCATTCCATTAACCGCAAAATCAAGAATTCCAAACGAGCCGCTGTTGATGGTGAGATGTGTTGAAGAGTGTGGGTTTCAACACTATTGCTAATGCCAAGAAGCACTTGCTGACAGGAGCCCAGTATGGCTGTCCCCTGAAAGATTCTGCCAGCACCTGACTAAGACAGATGCAGATACTCACAGACAACCATTGGACTGAGCCCAGGGACCCCAATGGAAGAGCTAGGGAAAGGATTAGAGGAACTGAAGGGGATTGCAACCCAATAGGAAGAACAATATCAACTAACCAGACCACTCAGAGCTCCCAGAGACTAAACCACCAACCAAAAAGTATACATGGAGGGACCCATGGTGCCAGCTACATTTGTAGCAGAGGATGGCCGTATCTGACATCAATGGGAAGGGTCCTGTGTAGGCTTGATGGCTCAGTGTAGGAGAATGTTAGGGTGGTGAGACAGGAGTGGGTGGATGGATGGAGAAGCACCCTCATAGAGGCAAAGGGGAGGGAGGATGGGATGGGAGGTTGGTGGACAGGAAACTGGAAAAGGGGATAGCATTTGAAATGTAAATAAATAAAATTATTAATAAAAATTAATTAATTAATTAAGAAGAGTGTGGGGTTTGTCAGTCAGAGAAAGCTGGCTCCCAGTTTGGGAATGGAGATGTTGCCTCTTTCCCTGGCTTAATCAAGACAGGAGGAATCCACAGGGGGCAACGATTCCTATCTCATCTTTGTTGTGCACATTAAGTGAGGTGATTTTCAGAGTGTCAACTACAGTGACTCACCATTGAGAAGCCATTCGTAAATAGCTAATGATAATAACTAAACATCCTTGTCTTCTACCTTAGTTGGGTAAATCATTTGCCCAAACTCCCCAAGTTACTATACTGACACAATTATTTAAAACTATAAAGAACTAGCTGAGAAAATTTGAAAGTATTTTACTCTCTAAATAGATTAGGAAAAAAACAAATATGGGAGACATTTGTCATTTTAAAGAAAGACTGGTGATGAAGAGGAGTCGGGACTAAGCACCTATTGATGTATGGACCGGCCGTGCGAGGCAGATGTGGTGACATCAGACTCTCACTCTCCTTGGGGAGCCCCTCCCACAGTAGAAGTAAAAGAAAAACCTCAATCCAGCAAATAGATTTTACGAGAATCCATCCACGCCAGGCTGATTCCATTTCCTCCCTCCATAGAGTCTGGAAATACAGACAGATGAGGGGTATCAGCTGCTGCAGTCTTTGGTTCCAACCTACTAATAGTGGAATCTAAAATCTTAATTGCGTTCTGCTGGCTGTTGGAAACAACCTCCAAATCCAGGAAGCAGAGCCTCGGGGTCGGTTGTGAGAGGGATGGGAGGCAGGCAGGCAAGAGACTCAGATGTGGCACTGGTATTAAAATAAGCCACCCACCACCCACAGTAAGACTCAGAACTCTTACCAAATGTTGATGGATCACTTGTCACGTGCCATGCCCTCAGTCTGGGAGGTGGAAGACAGCTGAAGTAAGCGTCTAAGGCAACGGCGTTTGACACTTCTCAGTGGATACAGCTGTAGAATTGGCATACAGAGCCTATGGAACCTTTAGGCTTGGCCAGAAGCTTCCATAGAATGGGATAAAAGTTGAGGGAAAGACTTTTAAAACAGAAGCTGTAGGATCAGAAAGACCCTTGGGAGAACCCCAGAAAGGTGGTTCAGGTTGAGGGGTGTCCAGTTGCAAAGACTTCCAGGAAGAGAGTAGAGGAGAATGTAGAAGTAGCTGAAGCAACTGAGGGGCGAGGTTCGCACATTAGGAAAAAACCTTTAACAGTTGATTCTCAGCCTTCTGGAGAAAGCCTTCATGAAACCCAACCTAGTGTCACAGGTGCCCTGAGCACAGAAGGCAGAGAGGAGTTTGTCCTAAGCCTAAAGTTGCCAAGAGAAAAGTAGCTCCCATTTGACACTAGGCAAGAGGGACCAAGACCCCAGGAAGAAGGGAACCTTGAGTCCTAAGGGAACTTGAGGTAAGTGGTTGCAGGAATTTCCAAATGAAGACAATTCATCTGAGTGTCCATTTGTCCTGCACAGATGACCTTTCCAGCTCCAGATCCCAGGACAAAGGTATCTTGGTTATTTACAACTGCACTCTCTTGAGCCCAGCTCTTCCATTGGCTGTCTCCATCAGAACAGGACCGTTCTCTACACAACACAGTCACTATAGGCCATGGAGTTAGGTCCACCAGAGAAGCTCCACAGGGAGCACATGAGGCGGGGATGGGGAGGGGTGCTGGGAGGAAAAACAGAATGGGCAATCCTGGCTATGGCCTGGTGTAGCAGAAAGCCAGCATATTTCTAACATTCTCAGATGAACCAAGTTAACTAAAAATGATTATTTATTATTTTCTGACTGCAAAGCCACAGAAACCAAGCCCCCCTTCAGTCCCCACCTGACAACAGTCCCTCCAGAGAACTTAGGTGCATGCAAAACGTGTTCACTTCTGCTCTTCAGAAGTATCCCTCTACTGACTGAAATGTCTAGGGAAATTAAAAAGATGTTAGCCATCTATGACACTCTCCCTGGACTAGAACTGAGCCCCTCGCTTGAATAACCACCTACCTCATAAAGCTACTCCCACGTTTCAAATGTTTCATCAATGAGTGTGGCTGTTCTATGCCTTACCTGTTGCAGAAACCCAACTTTATGATATAAAGACAGTAGGATAATGAATAAATGTTGGGAGATTTGAGGAACATGTGTGTGCTTATTCAGCCAATCCGCAACAACACTGACACCCGTACAATAAAGACATGCACACATGCATGAACACACACACATGCACATGCATGCACACACACACACATGTGTATGTACACACATGCACACATGCATGAGCACACGAGCTCACACGTACATACACACACACGTGAGTACACACACATACATACATGCACACATGTGCTCACACGCATGTACACACGTGCACACACACCCCAAGTGCCACCAAAACAACTCTTCTGCGAAGCAGCATTTGTCCTTTTTCTGTCCTAAATCTTTCCCACCGAGTATTTCCTTGCAATACCACATGGCCTTGGACCCCACAGAGAAGTATGACTCTTTCTTGGAAATGCTGTCACAGCTAACATTTACAAAACCTTCAGAGGCTCCTGTCTCATCCTCCTTCTGACACTGAATCCAGCCAGCACATCATTTGGGAAGCTGCTGGGTACCAGGATGCCAGCCTAGCGGCAGCACGAACTAACCATGTGGTTACCGAGAGTCAAACAATTTTAAAATAATCCAGTGTTACCAGTTTTTCAGGCAAGCAGGGGAGGCTAATACCTGTCATCACAACTACTTGGGAGGACGGTATGGGGCTGGGGAGGGAGCTTGAGGAGGAAGAATACTTGAGCCCAGGAGCTCAAGTCCAATCTGGACAATATATACCCATATTTGGTGTCCTTAAAGAAATAAGATAAAAAGAGCAAGCAGTGGTACCAAAGATGGAGATATCTATTCCCGACATTAATGTAATGCCAACCAACACAATAGGATCAAGCAATAGTTAAAACTTTAAAAACCTAAATATTGGTCTATGTAAGTGGTGAGGTTTTATTGTTTTTCTTTTGATGCCATTGACACATACAGGGTCAAAGGTCAGTCTAATTCAACAGTATCTACCTCTGCAATATTTTCGTGTCTTCTTTAAAATCAAATCCTGACTTATGACTAAATCAGAAAGTTCTCTGCATATCCTTGTCAGATTTCTGCTGGCCAAGGAATGACCTAAGCAAGACCTAGTCAAAATCTTTTCTATCTTGCTTCCTATAAAGCATGCAAGCATATTGGGATAAGGAGGTACGTCCTTTCCTATGGCATAACTGCTTTGAAAGAGGGCTGGAGGGCAGAACTGGCTATGGGCAGGCATGCGCTGAATCCTGAACTAGCTTAGGGTTTTGAAGGCCGGCAGTGAAGCTCATTCCCAACAGGAGGGGTGGGGGAGGAGACAAGATTCCACCCAGGAGATTCTGCTCAAGATTCTTGTTCACACACCAAAGGTGTGAAGACAAGCAGCCCACCCGGTACATGGAGAACCACCCAATTGAGTACACAGGTGGTCAGAGGGGAAGCTGGACCGAAGCTGGGTGAAGGCCCACCGGGTCAGGTGGGAACCGTGAGGTGAGCTGAGGTTTGTGGGTGAAGTGGACTGTCCTCTCATCCCCGGAGCCAATGCATGTGCACTGGAAGGCAGAGGCCAGGAAGTGTTGTGTTGCAGGGATGCAAAGGGAAGCTCGGTCCTCTGGGAAGCTGCTCTCCTTGACCTGGCTTCCAGGGCTTGAGGCTGCCAGCTGGTCAGGCGGCACGTCCTACTCTGTCCCTCCATCTCTGTCAACCACCCACAAGCACGCCATAGGATTCCTGGCTACCCCGGGCTCCCCTGCAGCTCCGGATCGCTGCAGGCAGCGGGGCCTCGCGGGCGCGGGGCTCACTCACCCGCGTGCAGGCCGCCCGCCTCGGGGCCGCCGTCCGTGGCTGCGGCGCTGGGCAGAGCGTCCGAGTCGGTGTAGGTGAGCCAGGTGGACTCGGTTTCCCGGGTCCAGCTTTCGTAGTAGCGGGGCTCGATGGCATCGGCTCGGCTCCCGCCGCAGCCCATCTTCCCGTGTTGCGGGCGCGCCCGGCGACCGCTCGGCTTGCGGCTGCAGCTGCGGCTCAACCCGGGCGACGCAGCTCCGGCCCGCGAGGAGGAGGCGGTGGCAGCGACATCGGTCCCCTAACCGCCAGAGCCTCTGCCAGCGCCAGGCTCCCCGGGAGCCCGCCGCCCCTCCTCTCTGCCTCCAAGGCCCTCCTCCTCTCCACTCTCCTTCCTCAGCTCCCCTCAACCTCGCCTTTCTCACCGCCCAGCCGCCAGTGCCTCCTTCAGTGTTGTGGCAGAGGCTGTGCTACAGAGTAGCAGACAGGTGGTGGGAAGAAGAAAAGGGGTCCCTCTTCAGTCTTCAGTCGACATCCTGGGCTCTCATCCATCCATCCATCCATCCATCATCTGTCCATCCATGCATCCACCCACTGGTCCAGTCATCCATCTTCTACCCATCCATCCTTCTACAAAACCATCTTTCCGTTCTGGGTAGCTCTGAAGCTCACAGAAACATTCCCCCCCCCCCCGACCCCCCCAAGCTTTCTGACCACTTGTTCTGAAAGCAATGGATGAACATAGGGAGTAGAGTTGTCACCGAAAGTTATGTTAGAGTCGGTGCCTGCTTACAAGTAGAAAGCAGGGTCCATGATTTCAGACTGTGCACTTAGACGCTTGTCACTAACAACCGGGTCTGCAACTTCACCATCTTTTGAATTCTGTTCTCAAGAAAGCAAAAGAGCACCAGGACCATGCACGAGCGAGGACTCCAGGGAATGCTTACTGGATAGGAATAAAGCAGCGTTCTATAGTGACTTCGGTTCAGGCTAAAGAGTCCAGTCTCTGCTGCGGGTCCCTGTGGCAGGCATTACCAGGGTCTGCAAGACAGGAAGTAGTCTTGGAGACTCCATATAAGGCCTGGACTGCCCCAGCAGGACTCTGCAACCTCTTCTGGGCCTCTGAGGCATGTGCAGTTACCTGGGATGGGTGGCTCCCACACCGTGGCAAATTGGAGGGCTTCTGACACCTTTTGCTCCCTCCCTAAAATAATTTGGTATAAAATGAATTGAGTCTTCATGAGGTCCTGTGCTCAATCTCTGATATCAAATTGATGATGATGTAAAAAAACAGCCCCCTTTCAGAGAGAGAGAGAGAGAGAGAGAGAGAGAGAGAGAGCCCCTCTCAGGCTCTAACGGAGCCTGTGTTCTCTTCACTTCACCAGCAATGGCCAGAACAGAAGCACTTGAGCTGGAAGGTTCTAGAAAATCAAAAGAAGGCCCTGGAACTGAGACCTGGGGAGGAAAGGAAACTACATGAGCATAAGATGAGGCGGAGTAGGCTGGAGCCAGGCAAGGGGTAAGACAAAGGAAGGGAGGTTGGCTTTGAGGTAAAAGTGCAGGGCAGAGAGCAAGGGGAGGGGCTTTAAGCTCCTTCTCATCAGCATTGTCAGATCAGCTCAGCTCGAGGAAACTGTCGCTCAAAGAGCAGATGGAGAATGAGTGAACTGAGGCCCGTGTAGTCCGGCAAGCGTTTGCGGATGAGAGGATGGCCAGTTACCAAGGAGGAGAGGACTAGAGGTGTCCAGTAGGTGCTAAGTCCCAGAGACAACAGCTGGGACGAGAGATAGTTGTCGCTCTTTTCAGTCTTACTTTTCTTCCTGTTGAGCTGGCTGCAGTTAAACAAAGTCTGAAGCGATTATATGCAATAAACATGTTACAACCACTTACCATTCTAAGCAGCACAATGAAATCTTTCACCATTACAGTCTATCCTGCCTGACTACGAGCCATCCCTTGACCCAGTGTGTCCACGCTCTGTAAACACCTGCCCTGCTGTCATTTGAATCTGGAACGTTCCTCAAAGGCCCATGGGTTAAGGTTTAGTCCTCAGGTTGGTTCTGTTGGGAAGCAGTAGGAGTTTTAGATATGGAGGCTAG